TTCCAGACCATATTCTGAATAACTTTGCAATTTGGCAGCAAAAATGTAGGTTTGGGCCCTGCCTAAAGCTGCATTGGCAGCCCAGCATTTCTTTACAATACAGATAAAGCCAGGAGAGAGGGTGGTCATTGGATCGCATAAGGAGTTTCAGGTTTTTTTGCAACAGTATGCGCTGATTGGGAAGAGCTGTTCAGTAAGTAACACACTCAGTTTATAGTAGTATCAGCCTCATGCAGTCATGCACGCAAGAGCCTGAAATATTCCAGCAGTACTGCCCAGCCTTTCTGATCAATGAGGCCACTGTACTTTTCTATCACTTGAGAGAACCTTTGCTTCTCTCAAGCACCAATCCTGCCATCTGTGCCCTTCCCTACATCCTCCAGGACCAAAGGCTGCTGCCAGCGACTCTTATGGCAGCAACTAAAAGCAGAAGTAGCTGGTACAGGCAAGATAAACCACTCCAGCAACTGCTCCAGCCCATTGTATTTTGAGGATGGTCCTTTAATTCCATCACATATGCATATAATGGAGAAGCGACACTCACCCACCCATCCGCTGGTTGCTACTGAAACAGTTCATTCATCCTACAGCCTGCTCCGTGGGTGCTCCCAAACAGATCCTGGGAAAGAGGTTTCCAAGAAGTAACTATGAGCTGGCAGTACCATTCGGGTGGGCCATATGCAGGCCATGAGATGTAAGCTGAGCACCTCTGTAACAATCTTTGCTTATTTTTGTCTCCTGAAAGAAGCATCTGAAAACGTCTTCGTTTTTCCCTGCCACTCATAGACACTCTCCGAACAATCTGGGTTCTCTCTCTTTTGAGGTTAGTGGAAAACAAACACTGACTTTCAGGGAAGGGGGATAAGTGTAAATCTAGCAAAGACGTTTGAGAATCTGTTCTGTTAATCTGTATTTGGTCTCACCCATTTACTTACAAATATTCCAAGGACAAAATAGCCAGTTAGGAAAAAACTGGTCCCAATTAAATTAAAAGCAGTTTGGCAACTGCCTTAAAAATACACCCCAACAGTCAGCACTGCCTCCAAATGAGTGTCTTAAGTGCCCAGCAGAATTTGGAACTAAGCCATATTCCTCTTTACCCCTCGACCTATTTATTGCCACTCCCTGGGACATTTTGATCAGTGGAAAAAGCCAGGAAGTGACTCAATTTTTCCCAAGCAGTCCTGTAATCCTACTGCAACTTCTAAAAAGGAAACAAAACCAGGAAGGCCTCTTAAATCTAGAACAATGCATTACACAGAGCTGTTTCTTAGAGAAATAAATTGTTTTCAAAGCAGCCACTGATGTCCAGCCTAGCAGGTTCACGCTGAACACCACCAGTGAAAAGAGGAGTCAAAACTATTTTTGGTACCTCATCATTCATTACTAAAACAACAAACCATACAACTGAAAAAATAATCCTCTCTGAAATGAAAGCTTTGGGAGGCAATTGCAGTATTTGAACATTAAACAGGCACTGAGGACTCTCTGAAAGAGAATGGGAAGCAAGGAAGCACAGGACAGACCAGGGAGACCGTCCTTTACGTAACAATCTTGCTTTGGGAAGAAATGAACCTTCAGAGCAAGTTACTGAAAAAATTAGCGATGGCCAAGGACAACTAGGAGGCAGAGGAATTGTTCCATGTGCCCATCTATATAGAGAAATATCAGCATGCCCCCAAACTGACAGACATGTAGGACATACCGTTTTCCATATAGGAGCAATGTTCCTTTCCCCATGAGCTTGGTGGGGAACCAACATCTCAAAGCACGTGCCCTCAGAAAAACCATACAGAGAGAAGGATGACAATGCTATAATTTGGACACCAGTGTTTCTCATTATTAGAGCTTATTTTCTTCTTTAAATTTCAGTCAAATGAATTAGCGTGCAAACGTTTTGAAGATTCAATACTCATTAGGGAAATTAAAAGTCCTTGGGGGGGAACAAAGGCTAGACATAATGGAATGAATAAGGAAAGGAAAAACTGAAGCTGAATAGGCAGTAAAACCTACTGACAGTGTGGAACAGGCTCTCATGGGACATGAAGGTCCAAGGCTTTTGGCAGGTAGTCTAGATGAGCTAATTTTTTTCCTTACCACTGGAAGCTGTGCAACCTTCAAAAAACACAGCAGGGACTTAGCTCCATTTGCGTTGAAGAAAGTAACGTACTACAAAACTTTAATAGAGAAATATTCATGCATGCCATCTGTTTCTGTAACGCATAGAGCAAGACAAAAATGGACTGTTGGCTATAAGTGAAGCATCAGACTGATTGTTCTCTGAAACCACAACCAGGACTTGAATCCTTCAGAATTCCTTGGTCTGCAAACAGTACACAGGGTCTTTGTAAGAGCTAAGCTTAACATCAGTGGCCCTATAATATAAAGTTACACTCAGATGCTTCTATGATTTGCAACAACTTCAGCATTCAAAACATAACTCGAGTTGGACATTTGCTGACATGCATAAATCAAGTAAACAGCTGCTTTGACGCCCTGTCTCTCAGTACAGAGTTATATACAGGATGGAGGAACGAGACATGCTATTTTGGGTGACTCTTCAAACTAACAGGTCAGAGGGCTGGAGATTATTCCCACTGCATTCTCAGATCAACTACACGGTGGTGGGAGGCTCTTACATATCAAACAGCAGCATTGTATTGCTGTTCTAAAAATAACTTTAACATTTAATCATCTGCCCTGCACTGTCACTTTCAAACTAACCCACATTATACCCAGTTACAGACAATAGCCATACCGATGTTTATACAGATACTGTTACTCCATCAGACTCAAATCAGGAACATGACTAAATCCCACTCTGACTCACTACACCAGGAAGAAAGGAAAGTTTTCTGTGAACATCAACACAAAAGAAAAAGGCTTCCAAACAGTTATAGCTCCCACTGAGGAGTTTAGTTTAAACAAAGAGTTTGTTTAATTATTCATGCATCCTTTTAATCTGTCAGCATCTAGTCAAGGACAATACCATCTGTCTGCAACGCATTAGTGAAGGTAACAGAAACAAAACAGTTGGAAAAGAGCTGTGCTAATTTTCAAATAGTGATAATGGAGTAATTTCTTAATGTACTCGCTTTATTGCAAAATTACCAGAACTAATGCCTTCTACTGATTTCTTTTTATAACACTAAAACAATGCTTATTCTGCTGGATTAACCACCGGAGGTACGTGTATTCTTCATTTTTCTAAATAAGGATATTTAGCATCAGAAATAGAAAGTTAGTCTTGAAATGCAACGGCTTTGTTTTCTTTTTTCAGCTCTGAGGATGAGAATGGCAAAGCTGGGGAAAAAGGTGATTTAACAGCTGTAATGACATGGAAGTAGAATTTGCTACTCAAAACAGAATAAAGCTAAGAAGAGTTTCTTCAACTAACGTTTTTTGGATCATAATGCTTGTTTTGCTCCTCCGTTTTATGCATGTGGGTTATTTTGCCCTCTGCATAATCCAATGGACTTTAACAGACTTTTAGATTTGACCAACTGCCACATACACACAAATCATATCCTGGATTTTGCTGAAAGTAGTGGAAAGTTACCTAAGACCATAAATGCAGTGTATATCCAAGTATGAAGACACGTGCGTACCTGTTCCCACAATCAGGAATATGGTGTTGCTATATATACAGAGCAGATAAACACCCATCTCCACGGATCTTCACAGGACATTTTTTCACTTCAAAGTGTGCCAATCTACCTGATTTTGATTGAAAATGCCGTCCCAGCATTTTTCTGGTAAAAGCATTGGTTATTGAAAAACTAAACATAAGAGATAGGAGCAGGAAGAAATGTAAATATAAAAGCTGGTTTTCAAGCATACCACCTCGGCCAAAGTTTAAAGCATTCCTTTTTAAGTGACAGCAAAACAAACCAAAAAAAGTAAAGTCAGCATTTAAATATTTAGCTACCTTCTAGAGCTCCGCAGTCCACCCACCCTTCTATTTTATGTATGACAGTATAGTCATTCTCAGACCCTGCTCCCTTCCCCATGCCACATACATGCTGCCCACCCATAACCTCACAGATCAATCCTGTGCCTAACACTATGAACAGCCTGACATCCCAAGCAAGCTTTCACCTCCTAGCTTGCTCGGAAAGCCCTGCTTTTTCAGGAAACTGGTTGCCAGACAGGCAGTGCCTGTCCATCAAAAAAAAAAAATACTGCTTAGTATACAGGTTTCAGTTAGCCAGGGAGCTAAAATTAATGCAAGCCTCCCATCAGAAATACTGAGTTGCCAATGTCTTGTCCCGCAGCTGCAACAGAAGGTCTGTTACAGGTGCAGCCACTGCTGGGCACAGCTCTCCAGCAAGGTCTAAGCCTCCCACCAAGGAACAGGTTAATTCTTTCCGCATGAGGGAGGAGCCAAGGGCCCTTAAAGCAGCCATAAAGTACAATTACACCTAGAAAAAAATCACAAGTCAGATTTTTCCAGCACATAGTTCTTGCAGGGAAAAAGTGCCTCGCAGCACTACATCCTTATATTCAAATCAGTATGATAGCTTTATTTTGCTAGGTCTTAGCTTAGTTTGAATCACTAAACAGATAAAGCTCAGGTTGTGTTATTCTAGTATAGCTGACTCAAATTATGCACCAGCAAAAAACCCTTAACTTTTTTGCTGGTCTTCCTCATTTCAAAGCAGGAAACTGAAGCTACTACCTCATACTGAGGCACGATGGTAGTAATCAGCTGACTTGTAGCCTCTAAACACTGGGTGGCTCCCAGTCTGAAGTGGGTAATAATCTCAAATTCTAGGACTTGTCAGAGATGGTTACCTGGAGACTGGAATAGTAGATAAAAACAAATAAATTTAACTATATTACACTTTCTCTATGTCTTATCATGGGTCTTTTGTTTGTTTTTTTATAGTGGGTTTTTCCCCCTTACGTTTCTTCCGTTATTTGTTGGTTCTGAGAGCAGCAGAGGGAGCTACCTTCAACTTTTTTTTTTTTTTTTTTTTTTTTTTTTTTTTCATCTTCTCGAAGGTTCTTAACAGGATACACCAAAAAGTGAGAAAGTAGGAGAATGATATGAAGTAGTCATGAGCAGTTTTTGTAACAGGGGCAGATTGCTATGGACACTCATCCCCTGCCTTCCCCAATACTCCATGCTATTAAACTTAAATGATCTGGAAAAGGGGGCAAAAATGCTGCTGCCAATGTAGTATTAATCATAGTTTAAGAGACAAAGGACTAAAAAGAGACTTCACAATAGGGAATGCATAGTAAATCTACAGGTGAAATTCACTACCAATACATGAAAAGTAATGTAAAAAAATAGAAATAACCCTAACCACACACAGCACGAGAAATAGCTGTTAAGTTGGTGTTATGAACCTCTTGGCTAGGAAGTAAAACACCTTGGCATTATTTTAGATAGTCCTCTGAAAATATCAACTCCATGCTCAGAAGCCATGAAAATGAAGAGAGCTTTAGGACTCACTAGGGAAGGCATGGAAAACAAATCAAAATACAACTGTGGCATAGCACTTCATATTTACAACTTGAGTAGAGTTTGGTCACCCCATCTCTGAAGAGACAAATAGAGAAGGGTAATGAAGATTATCAGAAGTGCAAAATGGCTAAACACAGCAGCAGTCATACAGGGGAAAAGACAGGCACAGACATGAGAGGCCTAGAGAACTGTGATAAAGGCAGGAAGGTAAAAAACAAAATACAGGTCATTAAACAATGGCATCAAGAAGCAGGCTTAAAACAAAAACAAGCAGCACTTTCTCATGCTGACTAATTAAATGGGAGGGAAAAACATTAACAGATTTTTTTTTTTATTAATTCATTGCATACTTCATAGATAAAATTCAATCACTACAAAAATTCATGGTCCAGCTGCAGTTTCTAGTTTAGGACAACCTTGCACAGATTTTGGCAAGTAGCAAGCAGATCTTGCTGGAAAGAGAAAATACCACTGCAGTCTTGTTACGTCTCTTGCTCTAAGCACTCATTACTACCACTTCTGGAGACAATACCGGGCTCAGCAGATCTCTGCTTTGCCATGTGGCAGTTCTGATGTCACATATATTAAAACTATTCTGTTTGTGCCAGATGAGTCTGAACTGTCCCACACTAATACACTAGCTATGTAGCAGCATGGATATCACATCATTAATCTAGAGGAACAGAGACACAAAATGGAGCATTCAAGAGCTGTGTGCTTCTGGGAAGCAGGGATGTTCATCATGAGTGCTGCAGCCCAGAGCTTTCCCACATCCCGTATCAACAAGAACAGAATTATAAGGCGGCAAATCTTTTTTTTTTCCCCTCACATCAGTACAGATGCCATGCAAAATTCCAATTCATCATTAAAGCCAAACGATTTCTAGGGTCCAGCAAGACAAAAGTCTCTCTGAAACAAAGCCAAAGCTGGAGTCCCTCTTAGTGCAGTATCATTTGTCCAGCCTATCATAGATACCTGGTTCCGTGTGACACAGATGTTCAGCTTTTGTGGTTTGCAATATGTAAAGTCACTTTTGCACAACGCAAGGAAGACCAGCAGAAGCTATACAGTGGTTGAATTAGCTCACGTATGAGCTAAAACAGATGGTACCAAGCATGTTCTGAAGCACTTGTCCTGTGCCGATTCTGCTGTGCCACTCCCTCAGGTAAGTGAATGCAACAGCTGCCCCCTTCACACATACCCCTTAGAGAAGCTGGGATCAGACTGATGTGAACAAAGAATTTCTCAGAATTACTAGATCATCCCTCTTAGCCTTCTATTCACTTGGAGTCTTTCTTACTTCAGCCTGCACTGAAGGTCTAAAATCACCGAGATATTAACTTCTGCATTGAAATGCAGAAGATTGCAGTTTTTTCCTCGATGATTGCCATTCATCTTAAGTTGTTTGGAAAGGCATGTACCCACATAGAGCACAGTTTAGACACATGACAAAAGAAAACAGGCCGTAACCGTTCAAACAAAAGCTTAAGCATAGACATCAAGTAAACACCCATTCCATAATGTCTATCTGTATGAAATGGCTTGAATTTAAAGATCGAGTTTCTTAACAAAGCTTGAGAAATTTTTTTTATTAGCTCATCTAGGAACACTTCCTGTTTTGGACGTCCTTTACATGCCTCCCTCTCACTGACAGATTAAAGAAAGCAAGTGAAATAAAAATGCTGTTATTTGAGCAAGAGCGCCACGTAGTGTTACAAACCGTGATGGGAAACAAAAGGCAGGCAATCTCTAGCCTTCCCAAAGCCGGGTAAGGGAAAAACACGGGCATGATTACACTGAATATGAAGTCTCCCCATCTTGTGATTTTTGACAAAACAGAAAACAGTGTAGCGTTCAGCGTAAGGAAGAGAAACAAAGCACACCTTTTCTTAGTTCATTCTGCAGCCTGCGTGTCAGCTAGCAAAAAAATTATTTCAAGTAAAGCAAAAGTAGCAGTGAATTCCATTGCATTTGAGCTATTTGCATGAGTTAGTTTTCATTCAAAACATATGCAAGAAACATGGTTTGTAGTTAAGTCAAGAGCAGATGACCAGTATTTGGAGGCTGCACCTAACAACTCAATCAAAACAGTAAACTACTTGTTGTGAGACTGATCACAAGTTTCTACTTGACTGGGAGCATTTGCCTGTCTAGAAGAACCCAAAAAGAAATATGCTAATGTTGATTTGTCATCACAAGTTTAATCTGAAGAACACTGAAACCTTCTCGATCTCTTCTTGTGAAGTTTTCCTGACTTCAGTGGGATTCCTTTATGAAGCAAAACAATGGGAATTTCTTGACTTCAGTGGGATTCCTTTATGAAGCAAAGCAATGGGAATTTTCTTCTATACAATATTTTATCATTCAAGAAAAAAAAAAAAATATACAGCAGCCACCAGTGCTTCTAGAACCAAACTGCTTATCACCTATTTTCCTGCTAATATCAAACACTTCCATAGAGTTTTTTCTTCTTTTTTTCAAAGGAATATACCAGAAATTTTGGAAGTCACTAGAATACAATGACACATTGCTTCCTCTTACAAGTCATGCAGGAAGAGGGCAGGGGTGATGGTGTGAACAAACATTGCACAAATTTCACAAGTCTTTCCATCAAATAAGTTATAAAACTGCACATAAGGCCTCACATAAGAAACTATGCAATATTGCTAGCACTGGGAAGGAACAAGTTATCCAAAGAGCAACTGACAATTTTGCCATCTTTAAAGCTGTATTAGATGTGGAACAAGGATTTTTCTTCTTCTTGAGGAAAAGTAACTCTGCATTGCAAAGAGAAAATATTTTAACATTCAATTTCAATAAATTTCTCCAGGAAGCATTTAGATAGCTTTAATTTATAAAACATCTACAAAGAAAACAGACAATCCATTTGGCTGCTATGCAAGAGTATTCTTTTCTAGTTTCTATTTGATAGTGTTTTCACCTTACTAAAAGAGACAAGAACTTTTATTAAGATATTTACATTCATGTTTTAAAAACCCTGTGTTCATCGTCACATGCAAATGAAACAAACACACAGTATCGCTATTGTATTACAGAAAGAATCTGGCATTGACTTTAATTTAAAAAGCCATCAATTGTGCCTAGGTTGAGAGATTTTCTTCTATAAACTCATGGTATATGAAAGAGTCCCCCAAAACGTTAGCACTAGATGGGCCTGTGATTCCCAGGCTTTTGAGATCAGAGCTCTCTAAAAACCCCAATTAGCCATATACTTCTTGCCCTTCAGCCTAGGTTTTGCCATATTTCTTCATAGTCCCCCTTTCCCAACCTGCACATGACTTTTCCAGCTTCCAGGAGGAAAGGGGATGATTCAACTTACAGTCACTTGCATTCTGCTGCTGCCACTGACAAAGGGATTAATCCCAGCTCTATAAATGCTCTTATGGCTAAACCAGTTACTTGAGCAGCAAAAAAGACGACCACTAATTACAAGCTTGTAGCTTTCTGAATATGACTTGTCCCTGCAACAGGCTGCACTGTGGATTTGGGGAGATGGAGGAAGAGACAGAAATAGACAGCTGTAGTAAACGGAGAGAACCACTACCTGACCCACATGTACGAGTATTTTAGAGCTGGCCATCAGGTAGTAGAGAGATGTTGCTATAACAGTCTACAAGCCAGGCCTCACTATTTACTATTCTATCTAATACTCCAACACCTTTATTCCCAGCTAGCTTAGTAGCCCTAGGCTGAAGATATATTTTGAAGTGTTACAACTAAAAATTGATAATTTCCAGTATCAAAAATGAAGTGTGGAAGCAAACTGTTCAGAGCTGCAAAACACAAATGCAAAGCACTGTACTGCATGGCATATTAAGGGTTCATTTCGGAGATGCCATTTCAAGAGTATCCTTCCATACTTAGGCAAACCATGAACCAAAAAAGTTAAACAATATAGTCTCTTTCCATTCCCTGTACCTAGTTCATATACTTATATAAATCTTTTGTTGACTAAAAAAATGCCCTCCCATATTCTTATAAAGACAGTTCTGTCTCCTAGATATGCCAGCTCAAAGGACTCTCACTTAACATTAACAGAAGCTGCTTTTCCTGAAGTCAAACCAACTCCTAATCTACATTTCATCCGGCAGTGCAAATACAACTGCAACATTCCTGAGCAAATATTTTCACTTCCATTTAAGCATCAAGTGGCATAAAACCATCTTATTCACACAGAAAAGTAATTCAGAAACCACAAGCAACCAAAAGACAGCAAAACACAGAAATCCAAACACACAGATAAGTTCTTCCCATTTGAGTTTTAGGTAAGTACAACTGGTTTTAATGCACTTATATTGCAAACACGTTTTCTCTTTATGGTTTAGAAGCACTGAGGGGGACAGGACAGAACAGTATTTTGCGTGAGGCAAATGGCGGTTTTACTAAAGGACTGAAGTTCCCAAACCCATATGCTTGTTGTGTAAGTGTACTGCTCTTAGAGCAGAGAGAATATTTTTTGCATTTAACTGCAAAGATAGACAACAGCATTTAACTCATGCATCAACCTGCATTTGTGACAGTTTTTGGCCAAGTTGTTTTTTAATGCACAAAACTGTCATGAGCAGGAAGTTGTAACATCACATGCCATTAGAACACAGTAAAGTGAACAGATATAAGATTCCGGATCAATCTTTCCGGTTTTCCCAATAATATTCACAAAAGGTTTAGAGAACTTACTATCAAAACAGCATTTTCAGCACATCTTCTCAGTCTTCTTAACCTATAAGCTTCAATCAAGTTAATTACTGCACTTAAAAAATAGAAACTTCTTTCCTTACTCAGGCAAAGACTCCCATTAAAAGTCCCATCAGAAGACAGCTTTTGCAGGACTGCAACATCCTTCTACAGATTTGAATTCAAGTTCTCCCTAACGCCGAGCATGATGCACGTGTGCTATTATTCTTCAATTACATCTTCAGGGAGGTGCTGAGGGCAAAGTTGTAATAGAAAGCATTCCTTGCAGGTTTTTCAACTGCACAATATTTCATCACAAAACTCTCAGTGACTTATTTCATATTTGGCTGATTGCTGCCAGGAAGGCAATGAGGAATACTACATTTCCACAGATGTAGATGGTTAACACAATCTGTTTAAACAGACGACCCTGCAAGAGAAGGGGAAGAAAAGCCATAGAAGTGTCAGTCTTTTTATTGGTTTAAACAAAGAATCATCCCATCTCATAGCAGTTATTTACAAAATTGTGACTTACCTCTGCTTCTGCAGATGTGAGTGACTGCAGTATTTGTACTCTGTCATCCTCTATCACTTCAACTGTTAGTGGGAAGAAAAAAAAGTTGTCTGCTTTTAAGAGTAAGGGGGTTTTTCATTTTTATACTGCAGAATTCTTGATCCTGTGACTAAGTAACTAAGTCTTATACAGCATCAAATTTGAAAAGCACTTGGAAGTCTCATTTAACATTTCATGACCTGTACTATCATGCTTACAGCACAAGTGAAAAATTATTCTGGAGCTGACCTACAAAAAGTAACTTCTGGACATTGAAGTGGCAAAACATTTTGTCTTTTTTGCTGGAATCATCAAAACACTGAGTTTTAGCTGAACAAAACATTTGTTTGATCTAAAACCTTCTCCTTTTCATTTTAAGATAACTAGATTTTATTAAGAAGTGTTTTCCATTAGCCAACACGAGAACATTCATTGTTCAAAGATTTCAGATTCATTTCTCTAGTTCTAGGAAGTAATTATTGCAATTAAAGTTTAAAGGCACATCTTTCATAATCACTCCTTCTCCATGTGCCACCTTACACAGCCTCTTAACTAATCATGCTGCTTCAATTCTGCAGATGTCTCATCTCTGCCTTAGATACAGGTCGTTTACATGTGCACAGTCATCTCCTCTCAGTGACATCAGCCAGCAAAGCTAAGAATTTCCAATGAAGTTACTACCAGTCTCTTCACTAGACATATTGGAGTCAGGATTTCACCTTCATTCCCCTGTTCATTCACAATTGCAAGCATTTGTGCTCGTTGTGGTGAATGGAGTTACATCCAGTTGGCGGCCGGTCACGAGTGGTGTTCCCCAGGGCTCAGTACTGGGGCTGGCCTTGTTCAATATCTTTATCAATGATCTGGATGAGGGGATTGAGTGCACCCTCAGTCAGTTTGCAGACGACACCAAGTTGGGCGGGAGTGTTGATCTGCTCGAGGGTAGGAAGGCTCTGCAGAGGGACCTGGACAGGCTGGATCGATGGGCCCAGACCAACTGTATGAGGTTCAACAAGGCCAAGTGCCGGGTCCTGCACTTCGGCCACAACAACCCCATGCAGCGCTACAGGCTTGGGGAAGAGTGGCTGGAAAGCTGCCCAGCAGAAAAGGACCTGGGGGTG